TTACTTAGATGCACATTCAACGTTCAGTTCACATTTAACTATATGATTTACAGACAGAAAGATGGGATCACCATGGGATCCACTACTAGCAGGCTGCTTTATGTCCAGTTTAAGAAACGGACCCTTGAAATCAATGATTGAAGGTTTCTGACTATGCAAAACGTACATGGACGTTACTTTTATTTTCTGTGGTCATCATTATGATTTGAATCACGTTGTACAAATATTCAGTAACTGTTATTCAGCAATGAGATTCACTCTTGATGTCGAAAACCGATAGAAAATCCACTTTATTGATGCAGAACTGACAAGAATAGCTGATGGAACGTTAAGTAAATCAATTCACAGAAAACTAATGTGGAACGGTCAGCTATTGAACTTAAGTAGCTGGCTCTATATGAGTCGTAAGCGAAACCTGATTATATCTCTTGCCACTCACATCCTACGAATCTGCAGTCCCGATCTGTTAGAATGTAAGAAGATGCAATTTCTGTTCTAAGGAGCATCCCGATTGAAAATGTGTTTCCACTTCGCTTCACAGACAGAAAACATCAAGCCTAAACCTCACAAAGAGAACTTTACCACCGTGCCAAAACAGACACTATATGAATCTCAACTTTAAAGGTGATTTTACCGCTAACACTAAAAAGGAGGATATCAAACGCTCTAAGGAGAACATTATTTACATCAACGCTGAGACTAATATTCTCTTGTTGCCCATCGATTTCTAACAACTCAAAGGAGAAACTTTCGCATCGGACCACTTCTATGTGTATATATCAATTCACCTGCTCTTGTGGAGCCAGGCGTATAGATGGTTTGACGTAAGTGTTATCCAAAAGGGTTCAAGAACAAGAGGTAACAATGGAGCGATGAGGAGTGCTATAATTAAACATATCGTGCTCACAAATCACCCTATCTCAAGAACTTCCTCGTCCACAGTCATCCATAAAGTGAAAGGGAACCTCCCAAAGGCTGTATCTTAGTATTCTCTTCATCTCCGAAGCTCTTGCGTTCAAATGGAGAAACCTGAACAGTGTATGCTAAAGAAGATTTTTCAACTCTTTTTCCTTTCATGGTCTCAGTTTTCAGCCTTTGAAATCTCCCCCCCCGTTCATTTCAGCTTCCTGTTTTGACACTGTTCACTTCTTAAGTAATTTTCTACTCATTCTCGTTGCTATACTATGCCTTATCACAATTCAGTTTCCAATTATGTCGTCGTCATGTTACGAAACTTATTGTTCAAACTTATTTTTGATTAATATTTTACTACTCATCAGGTTTTGATATTTTGATTTTAATGACAGCTCATTTATTGACACTATTTGTGTTGCCATATTTAACAAACCCATTTTTAAGTATAAAATCCTTACACTCGAAAAGTGTATAAACTTGCGATTGTGTACAGGTTTGAAAATACTTCTTCCTTCAAATATTATTGAAACTACAAATTAGTTTCTTAACTGACATTCACAATTTAAAACAATTAGTTCCCTTTATAAACTTCGACAAAACAATAAGATGACATAAATTGTCTGAACAGTGTAATGTGTTTGTATAACACCTTTCAAACAATCTGATCATACACATTCTTGTCATTTATATGAAAGTTTATAAAGGGATAATGGGCGAGAATATGAAAGGAGGCCAAGTAGGAAGGTTGAATTAAAGGCTGACTAAGGGAGATTTAATGTGATAACAAATTATTTTTGAACAAACAAAGGTGGTTTAAACTTCCTAATTGCTAATACTTAGGGAGGACTCATAGATCCATGCAAGTAAGGGGATCGGAGTTTATTCCAAAATGGCTTCAGAAACAAATTAAATCACCTGAACCCATAAACGTTGGTAGCAGACGTCCAATTGCCTCAATAGCGAAATATATCGCTGAGACAGGTCACAGGATTGATCTTCCTACTTCTTTTAGACCTTATTTACTAAACGTGTAGCGGATGGATCCTTAAATTTGTTGAGGCCTTAGCTATTAGGAAGAGTTGAGTGTGTTGACCGTTTCACTTACCTGTGAAGTAGGCTCAGCCCTGACGGCTCAGTGGCCGGTGCAATCTCTGCACGAATACAAAAGGCTTGATTGGCTTTCGCCAACTTACGCCACCTGTGGCGCCGCCGTGATATCCGATTATCTACTAAATGTCGCGTATACTGCACAGCAGTCCGCTTTGTTCTACTGTATGGCTGTGAAACATGGCCATTGAAGGTGGAAGACATGAGAACGCTTCAGGTGTTTGACCACCGTTGCCTTCGTAGTATAGACCGTATTCCGTGGTGGTCACCATGTGATTAACGTAGAAGTCAGGAGTAGAGTTTTAGGGAGAAGAGGTAAGTCGGTTGACTAGGTTGTGAACCTTCATCGACTGAGATGGTTAGGATACGTGTTATGTATGTCTAGTCGCCGATTGCCTCGTCACACAATGTTGGCTGAAGTAGGTCCAGGATGGAAAATGCCCGAGGTGGCCAAACTAGAGCATGGCACCAATGTATGAAGTCTCCGACTGTTGGTTTGAGCCATGTGGAACGATGCAAACTAGGTAGTTGGGGTCGGCGGAACAAGAGAAACCAGTAGTGGTTGGAGACTCTAGGTGATCTCATGGCTGAGAACCGATGTCAATGGCACAGATGTAGACATACATTATCCTCATCTTAACGACGCCATACCGATTCTCACTACTTTCTCATTCTTCGTTTCTCTCTTTTCGTACTTTATATTCCTTTTGACTGGATTTTCTTATCCTCATCTTGCACCTCACTGCCTTTTTACTTGATATACTGATATGAGGTGTGGCAACTTGGACCGTTACGCAGTAATGCCTTGTCCTAGGTTGATCTGGATGGATGGATATTAGGAAGATTAGGCCACGTTTATGTGTTCAACAACAATTTATTATCAATGTATTTTGAAGTTAATGGGGATGTTATGTTTAAGGTAGCATTTATCACAGACTGACATCAGTTCGAGAACTATTGAAAACCTGGGAGCACTGGAAAGTGGTTTCGTTCTAATATAGAACTCCTCAGCAGTACTCACCGATGACCTGAGTTCGTTCCTTAACTGGGTTGTCAGTCCGTGATGAGTGCCAGCTTAAATTTACTATGACATTAAATCTCCCATAGGGAATTCAACTCTGAAACCATGTTCGATGTACTATTATTTTCACTCTATTGATTTTCATTGTTATTTGGCCTTGAATTTAGCCTTCCTACTTGGCTTCCTTTCATATTTTCACGATTTATCTCTTTCATATAAATACCTATGACAAGTATGTTTGTGATCAGATTATTCCAAATGTGTTGCTCGATTACATTACACAGACTAGAAAATTTGGTATTTAGTTCTTTTGATCAGTATGATAGTTATGATGGATAGTGGCTGGCAGTGGAATCCAGGATGTACATTTCATCCTATTTGGGACTCGTCAGCTGGATGTACCTGCTTCCCAGGGAGTGATGTTCTCACCACGTAACCATTATTGCTATAATTAGAACACAGGTAATATCGAGGCATCCGCACAGGAGCCCATATGTCAATAGAGACCGATCAATTCGATCCAATCAACGATGATACAATATAAAAACAATTATACTAGTATGATAGTTGTTTTTAAAAGTTAGAATCTGCTGTATGAACAACTAAACGCTTCATCATATGTGTAATAACTAAGAGGATGTAACTATCAGTTTCTTTTCTAACTTAGACACATCCTTATATGTTGGTATTCATCATGGACTGAAATCGATTGGAGGAACATTGGGAACCTGGGAGCACTGGGTGATTTTTTCGTCCCAGTGGGGAACTCCTTAGCAGTGTACACCCACGACCCCGCCAGGGATCGAACCCAGGGCCTTCAGGTCTCGTGACCAGCACACTACTATTTGGCAATCCAATTGTTCATATTTTCAACTTGTCAATTTACGATATGGTGCGACCATCATTCAATGTCATCGTTGAGTATTTGTCCTCAAATCCACCATATGGACCATTGGATTGCATCTCAGTGACTCAATAGTAACATGCTGGTCATGCAACCAGAAGGTCCTGGGTTCAATCCCCGGAGGGGCCGTACATTCGCACTGCTGAGGAGTCCAATACTGGGAAGAAACAACTATCTAGTTCTCCCAGGTTTGCAATGTTTCTCCAACGTATGTAAGTCTATGATGAATACCAACATGAAAAATCTCTAAATTCCCACGTTTTTTCATGCTGTCTGTGATTGAGCACTTTGACTGTTTTTCTGTGGTCGTTTTGTAATCTCCTAGTAATATGCTGTGCATTTCGTCGGACACCATGTTGATCCCATGGCACAAGAAGTTAAAGTGTATCGTTTATCCTTTTTTCTATTTACGATCAATTGTTGACAGTTAATTCAATTAGATTTCTTCCTCGAAATAATTAATGGTGCTAATAATAATGGTATAATTTACTTAGTGGTTAACTGTGGAATCTAGGATATGCTTTTCATTCTATTTGGGACTCGTCAGCTTGATGTACATCTACCCCAGTGATTGATAGTGTTTCCACTGAGACTCGAACCGAGTAGCCATCACCTCAAACACCCTGAATTCTCTACTGCTAGCCAACAATTAAATTACAACATATTGAATATTGGAGTATGGTGTGAGAGCCCATTTTCCAACGGAGGTCGAGGAATTCTGTCGAGTATAACTGTGAGAAATTACAAGTATATCAATAAATAACAATCATCGTTATAATAATAATAACAATAAAAGTGGTCATTATGTGAATTCAGAACCATATGCAGGTTGGTTTACTAAGCGATGTGATACATCTGGTGTGTCTAAGGGCTTTTGATACTGTTTCGATGCTTAGACTTCAGAAGGTTGGGTAGGGTTCCAACTCGCGACTCACTGATTGGACATTGCATTCCTGAAAATGCGTTATTCCTTGTCTTGTTTAAAATTAAATCAATGTAACTAAATATGTGGATAATTAGAATTTTCTCCTGTTTTTTCTTTTTATTAAACAGGGCATCTTTGTTTCGTTTGTTGAAGGAGGTTCACCAGCTTCACTAGCTGGTGTACGTTTCGGTGATCAAGTACTGGAGATTAATAATATTATAACTGCTGGTTATACTGGTGGAAAAGCAATGGATCTACTTAAAAATTCATCGCCTAATAACATTCAATTAGCGATTCGTGATCGGTGAGCAATAACTTCAAAATTTGTATATTTCTCAGTCTGATGCTACAGATGAGCAGTAGTAGTAGTAGTAATAGTAGGTTGGTCGGTATTATTCATTGTACTAACTTATACGTACTTTTAGTTTTCGGTTGCAGATGGCTTTCTTAGAATTACTAACGAAGGTAGATTTCAAGTTCTTGATCTTGGCGGTTTAGCCGTTGTTACCAGTCTGAACCTTATTTTAGTTAACGGAAATACGGAACATCGGTTTTAACTGTTGTTATTTGAGCTGAGTTGCTATATTCAAGTTGATCCATCTACCACTAACACCACACCAACTTACTCAAAAAGAAGGAAAACTTGCCCACATAATGCACATAGTGTTATAGTTGAATGAATGAAAATTGAAAATGTCGAGACGCACGTAGAGTTACCTTGTGCCCATCCGTGCAATAGGCAATGAGCCACGTCTGTTGTGCGAGGGTTAGTGATACTGCCTGACTGCCCGAATAACAGGAGGTGGGACAGCACATGAACCCGTGATTCAATGTTGGACATCATTTTCCTAAACAACCACTGAATGACAGTTCCACAATGTTATAGTTAGGGAAATATGTGGAAAGTGAACAAGGTCTTAAAAGTGTAGGCTGCCTAATCAGGATGTCAATCAACGAGGACAGAGTAGTAGACACTTTAATGGTACTCGTGTTTGAGATTGGTTGCTTCTTTCATTCTTACTGAGTAGTACGTAGACAACAGGAGACCTATTTATAAACAGGTGATGTAGTCTGTTGATGAAATATTTTTCTACATAGTACAGTGCTCATTGGTGATTACATTCGAGAGGTGATTCTCGAAGTTCCAATGAGAAGTCTTAACAGATGGTGTCAAGTCGAACAAGTGGAGAGTTTCTCAGCGACGGCGTTGGAAGGAGGTCGCGCTGTATCGTGAACTGACAAAATTGGGAAATATGGATTATTAGATTCCAATCTACTGGCTCAATGGTTACGTGCAGTCCATGGAACCTTAAGGTCCTGGAATGAGTCCTTAATGGGGTCATGGGCGCGCACTGCTCCCAGATTTCAAATGTTTCTCCAACTCATTTCAGTTCATGATTGTCAATCTGAAATCAATAGTATGGTGAAGCAGGACAAATAGACAGATCAAGACAAACCTGGCACTCAAATGGATTGGTGTGAGTTGTCACACTTACTAGCAGCATTCAAAGAAAAAGTAAGTAGCGAACACGGTACACAGGTAGACAAAAGCTTATGAGAGGGAGAGAGAATAAATTGATGGAAATTATTGGGAATATTTACAAGTTAGGTGAAACAAAGAGTGTATTAGATCATCAAGATTCTCCAACCATCGTTTTGAGGACCTCAATCAGACAGTCTACACCCATCTGCACTGTTCAAACCAACAGTCAACCACTTCGGTTTGTAAACCATTGACCTTCTTCCCCTCCACTCTTATTACCACTAACATTTCATGTCGAGTTTTATGTTGGCTTTTGGTTACAATATAAGTCCAAGTTACCTCAGTCAGTGTTGCTTCGTAACCTCATCGACTGACTCGGCCTCCTTAGTTAGTCTCGTATGTCTAACCTAGTAGTTGTTCACACGATAATTCTATCACACGCTGGTAGTGCTACGAAGATGATGCTTCGAAACAATGTTAATCAATGGTTTGAAGACTTATGGTCGTACTGTTCAAAATCGATCTAAGTACCACAGATGCATATACCATTTGTCATCTTCCAAATCGTGAATAGTTTCAACAACTTTCATCTGTGTTATTTCTCCTCTCATACGCATTAGTCTATCTAAATATCACGTTTTCACAGGACAAAGCCATTCCTACAGTGGCTGCATTAGTCAAACATACAATTTGTTGAAAATATTCAGCTCACAGAAACCAGTTACCACGAGTGCAGAGTAGGATTGCTCGCATTGAAACATTGTACACCTAACATTGCCCAGTCGTACTAACACCAAGACTGATTCATACACTTGGGAATTTTATTTCTCACATTTGTACTAGTGCTCATAAAACTAACCAGATAGATGATACTTCAGTTACTTTCGACGATTCACCGACAAGAATGATTGCAGACATATGTTCCTATCTATCTTGCAGAAATATTTTGCACATCGACGATACCAAGCATATTTCATATTGGAGGGGACTGGTCGTCAACCGGGTAAGCTCTTTTGGGATAGCCTACTTGGTGTTCGACAGAAATATGATATTCTGGTGGCACAGCTACACTACTACTGTAGGAGCAAGAAGACCGATATGAAGGAAGGAATGTCTAATGTTAACAAGTGGCACAGTAGTCATTAAATTTGGTACACCTTGCTCTAAAACCGTCGTTTGCAAAATGTGCTTCATTTCCTCTTCTGCTTCTCTCTTGATTTGCTGTTCATATGCCTTTGTTATGCCTTGCTTTTCTCTTGGCAGAATCTTTACCCATTGCTGTTAATTCCCCATGATTTCTCCCACCCTCTTCACATATACTACTTATATCCATTCTAATCAGTAACGCCCACTACACTACCACCACTACCACCTACATCTTAACACATTCAGAGCTGTTTCTAAAATATCGTCGATGAAAAGATAAGAAAGAACTGGGAAATCGAATGGCCTTGTGTAACTTCACTACTGATTATATACCTTTTTGGTATAATTATAAACTTCCCAGGAACACCTCTTGCTAATAGACAGTTCCATAGTATGCTCCTGTTGTTCAAGGAATGGAAGACACAAGCATTATTGAATAACAAAGATTTTGAAGCCTCAGTAGTTGTGAAGATGATCAGGTAATTGGTGGAGAACAAACCCACAATCTATGTATCCACAAACTGGATAAAATGTTGTCTGCTTTTTTTGCGAATTAAGTTCGTTTGCATCTTACAAAGCTTGTGGATATGATAATCACCAGCTGGTGCAAGACTGATACCCCCTAGACTGTTTATTCACGAGTTTTTCTCTCTTCACCATTTTTAGCCAGTGTATTATTTGTCCCTTGGGTTCCTAGTGGAACATAAGGCTTCAGTAGAACGTCACCACATCATTGTGTTCTCTGCAGTCTTTTCAACATCGTTCCACCACTGCTCACAAGCTTTCACTTCTTCCCCACACGATCTCGTCCATATCACCTTCGTCTCGGCTGCCCAACTCGTTTCCCATTCGAGTTCCACTCGTTGGTCTGACCTGACGCGTGATGTCTCCAAACGGTCTTCTCACTGTATGCCTAATTCATCTCCACTTCCTTCTGCATATTTGTTGGGTGATGGGTTCTCGGTTGGTTCGTTGCCATCCAACCAGAGTTCCTTGTTGCTAATTCTAATTATTCTGCCCATCTGATCTGGTCTTCAGTATCGAGTGAGCGTAAGCGGCAGCTATTGATGAGCGTCTAATTTGTTGGAAACGCTTTTCGTAACGCGCCAAGTCTCTCAACCGTCACATAGAAGCACTGACTTGACTGAATTGGTGTTGAAAATCCGGGTGTTATTTATACTGAGTGCAGTGCAGGGGATTTCCACACTGATTTCAGGTTAGTGAAAGCCTGTCTTTCTGTCTTTCCGATCTTGGCTTTTGCATCCTCATCTATGCCGCCTGTAGTTGAAACGATGCTGTTTAGGTGTGTAGGTGAAAGAGACTACTTCCTTTAGGTTCCTCCCGTTCATGGTGATTAGTGCTTGTTGTTATTGTTGTTGTTGGGTATGCTCGTCACCTTTGTCCTTTCTACGTTCACCCGAAGGAAGTCTCGTCATCGCTGCCTCGCCTCTTCTGTCAACTTGTTGGTTTTTGCCCGCGGATCTTCGAGTTTGTGCTACAAGACATTAGACATAAATCATCATCGGCAAAATCCAAATCTTCTAGGATCTTTTCATCGGTTCAGCGTATGCCCCTGTTTTTCCTCGTCACAGTTGTCTGTTGCATGATCCAGTTCAGTCGACCACAATCAGGAAGATCATCAGCGATAGTAGGTCGCAACCTCGTCTTACTTGTGTCTTCACTTTGAAGACGTCTCTAACCTTTTCACTGTGAATCACTTGGCATGTGGCGTCTTCATACAGCTGTTGAATGAGGTTGATAAAGGTTTGTGTTACTCCGTAGTGTTGAAGCAGTTGCCTGCCAAATTACGTCTCAGTCGACGCTATCGAGGACCTTTTCAAAGTCGATGAAGTTGAGTTGACTGACATTCTGTGCTATGTTCCATGATGATGCGGAGCGTTGCAATTTGATCTGGACATTATTTGTTTTTCCTCAAGCTAACCAGCCAACCTATTTCGGTCATAGGTTTGAACTCAGAGCATTTTTTAGTCTCTGCAGGATGATGCGCCTTAAAATTTGCTTGGGGTGGACAGGAGCGTGGTTCCGCACTAGTTCTTGCAGAGAATTAGGTCTCGCTTCTTTGGGAGTTTCGCCAATGTATGAATGTCAAAAATTCTGTCTAGTTCTGATAGTAGTCAATCAACTCCACTCAGTTTGTGTGTGTGTGTGTGTTTTATATATGAAGGATCCTGGTGTAGAGAAATCAAGAATATTCATATTTAATCGATGCTGTATCGTTTTAGTGGCATAAAAGGAGTCTTCTTTCACTAACACAAGTTACTAACTATATTTTGACATCATTCTCCATTTATTTATACCCTTAAGTTACAAATTAATGAAGTGAAAGTGAAATCACTCAACAACCTTGTTCACAATTGTGTAATGGTCAATGAAACTACACCTATTGTGTGTGGCAGCTATTGATGATACTACTACCTGCCTGCACAAACCTTGGTAGGGCGGGGGGGGGTGAAACTTGAACTCGTAACTCACTTATTGAAAGTCGACTCTGTAAATTAACGAATAACAATTCGATTATAAATTAATCTCCCCCTTCCTTTTAGTTTTGCTATTGTCTTTCCTTTTTTGTTTAGCCTTTCTACTAATATTCTTATTGTATTTCATTTCTATGCTTTTTTTGGCAGTCCATTTGAACGTGTTGTCACTGTGCATAAGGATTCTACTGGTTCAATAGGCGTAGAAATTCGTAATGGTTTAATCAAAGCAATTGTTAAAGACTCAAGTGCTGCACGTAACGGTCTTCTAATTAATCATTATATAATTGAAGTCAATGGGAAAAATGTTGTCGGATTAAAGGGTAAAGCGTTGACACAGATAATTGATGAATGTTCCAATGGGGTCAAATTCACCATTATACCGAAAACATTCCATGATAAGCTGACTAAAAAGTAAGTTGTTAATTATCTCTATACTTTTCATTATTGTTATTAGTTTAACCAATCACTGCATTCAGATGAGCTTTATGACCTTCTTGCTTGAAGAATTCCCGTATCTCTACGGATATAGACTTCATAGAGTGGTGCCATATCTTTGTCTGGCCACCTTGAACCCTTTTCCAACCGAGTCCAACTTCCCCCTAACCATGGCACGTCGAGGTAGGTGACCGTTCAAGGTTCACAGGTGTATACATAAGCTGTAATCGATTTGAATACCCTGTTTACTGTTTTTATTGATAAAGTTTCACATGTAAAGGTTGAGAGAACCAGTCACAGTAGATGTACTAACTCAGGGAAGTAAAATTTTGTCAGTCCCTTCCCCCCATACACATATTGTTAACCATCCTGCAAAATGAACAAGTAAAATACTGATCACTGAATTGGTTTGATTCGGTACAGGTGGAGATATGTGCACTCGTTTTTATGTGATGCTTTCCTTCCTCCTGTTTCTTTTTATTTACGCAATTACAAATTTCATGTTTGCACGTATTATATGTAGGCTTGATTGAGTAATTGAAAATCATGTGCTTTTATCTACTGAAGTGAAATAATCTGTCTGTCAACTATGATTCATGTTCTGAACATACCTGTAGTATTAAATCTCTAGCTAGCTTAACTAATGAGAATCATTCCTCCAAGTTAATGAAAGAATTTTGACGTTGATGAGAGAGAGCGAGAGAGTGCGAGTGCGCATTGATGATAATACTCTGCAGTATTAGAAATTATGTTACGTCTCAAGGAACAGTAACTTAAATCACTCCTAGTTTTCTGGAATAGCTGGATTCAAGGATTTTCCAAACTGGTAGGTGGTATAAAAGTGTGAGACAGTATTGTTGCCAAACAGTGAATACTTTTACTCATAAAAACAATAAGTGGTTACACTAAATAAGCACACCTTCTAATCGGTTAATGAATCAAAACTTAAAAAACAGATTCTTACGGTTATACTTTATCAAAGTGAGTTTTCCAAGTGCATTGATCACAATCTGAGCCATTCTAGGAGGTCCATACTATCCGGTAGAGGTCCATATGATAACAAAAACCAGTGGTTAGAGACTGTAGGTGATATAGCTCAGAATTGATGTCAGTGGCTCAGGTCCATTCATCCATCGCTATACTGAATTCAGGATCTTCGTATCCTTGCTTCTTATCTTTTAGTGCTTCCTGTTGCTTATGACCGATTGTTCTTTATTTCATCTTTCATCTAATTGCTGCGTTGCGTGTTTTGTAATATGAGATGTGGCAACTTGGATACCGAACAAGTATAGAATGCTTATCTGTACGTGAACTCGCGTAGCTATGTAAGGGCGTATGGAGAGTAGTCATCATAATTGACGACAACTAGTGGTATACGCCAAGGATGCCCGCTATCGCCCTTTCTTTTTAACCTCGTTATAGACAAAGTTTATTGATAGGGAGTGAAGTGATGGAATATCTTGATCACTTCACTTACTTGGGGAGTTGCATCATACGGCACCGTGTGGTTGCCGACGAAATCTCAGCTCGGATACAGAGGCTGCGACTGGTATTCGCAAAATTGCGTCATCTGGGGCGCCAACTGGTGAGATATCTGACTATCTATCAAAGGACGAGTATACTGCACTGCTGCAGTCCTCTTTTTCCTTATATACAGCTGTGAAACATGGCCGTTACAAGTAGAAGACATGAAGTGGTTACAGGGTTTTGATCACAAGTGTCTACATAGAATTGCTTGCATTTGGTGGGATCACTGAGTGAGCAATTTCGAAGTCTGGTGGAGGGCACTCTACAAGGTAAGGAATCGGACTGATGAAGTTGTGAATGTTGATCGACTGAGGTAGCTTTGTCATGTGTTGTGGATGTCGATCCACCTCTTGCGTCGAAGTGGCGTTCTGGAATATGCTGGATTAAGTAGGAAGAAGATTGAGGGTGATCAGGCCATGTGAGATGTGAGATCAGTTGATGAGCTGTTTGTCTGAGCTGTGTTGGGAGATGTAGAGTGGTTGGTTGATGTCCTGGAGATGAAAGGACTTAGTGGTTGAGAACTCATGGTGATGTGGTTGAAAACCGGTTACAGTAACGCAGATATATTCACTCTTTTTGACGTCTTCTAAGGTTCGAATATTCACACTAACAGTTATCTTCAGATTGTTTATTCTCTTACACTGCTCTGTCTACTTTGATATTGCTATTTTCCTATCCACATGTTCTTTTTGTTTTACTATGCAGTGTTTCAACTTGAACTGATGCACCTGTGAATTAGGTTCTACGTTGGTTTTGTCTGTCTATCTGTCAACGTCGATCGTTACGCAGTAATGCTTAGTCCTATGTCGTCGTTGATGATGGTGTTTCGCAGTTTATATCAATTTTTCTGTGGTATTCCAACTAGCCATTGTGAGAATCAGTAAGTTATTGTATCAGGATGAAACGCAAGCTTGTGAATCAGTTAACATACAAAAGAGCACTTGAAATAATTATAAGTTAACAAATTTGATCATCATGGAGCGTACAGAAATCAGAAATGGGATAAGAAATTCAAAATGCTGTAATAATTAAAGGCAACTATAATTTCGTTCATCGAATCTAGTTACCAGTTAAGTTTTTTCTATTTCAATGACCATGTAAATTCTTACTCTGGGACTAGATCTAAATATCTAAGACAGTAAGCGGCAACCAGATTATCTACGTTTCTGCACGAATATTTTAGTTGTTCACACACTAACACACACATGTATATTACTCCGTTGACGGTTCCTATACATTGGTCTAAGGGCTGTTTTGGAGTCAATCCTGTGACTTCTTTCCATAATATACTTACCTATAGAGGATGACATATATGTGTGCCTCCTATATTTATTGAATTATTTGAATGTAATTGTTTTTCTAGCCATTTGGCGATATGCTTCACCGCTCTCAACTTCATAGTACTTTATGCAACTCCCAAATGTTAGCAGCTTATATAGACAGTTTGTTCCCAGAATTAAATTAATGGATTCCATATGAGATTTATTTGATTTATAACACACAGTATTATTTACTTTATTGTTATTTACGTTTCGAGCACATATTATTGTCGCTCATAATCATATCAAGGTAATCACACTACTTTCGCTATCTGACTCTTTTTTCCTGTCACCTTTTATTCTTTGCTCTTATTGTTGGTAAACTTTTCCACATCTCTGATATAGGTGTTGCTTCATTTCTATTACATGTGTTGGGTGTTGATTTGATGAACAAAGATTCATTAATTAATCTCTCTCTCTCTCTCTCTCTACACCGAATTATGTCGGGACTAAGTAACGTGGTCTTATCCCACCCAGCATCTTGAGTTTATTATTATTATTTTCCCCTTGGCTTCCTAATGCAACATATGGCTTCAGTAGCACGTTGCTATTTTACTCTCTTCTCTGCAGTCTTTTGAAGCTGGCTCCATGACTACCGGTAACCTTTCATTTCTTCCTCACATGATCTCCTTCATCACATCCTCGGATGCTCAACTGGTCGTTTCCTATTTCGGTTCCACGCGAGAGCCTGGGGCATGATGTCTCCGAATGGTCTTCTCAGTGTATGTCTAATCCAATCCAGTCCATCTCCACTTTCTTCTGCATATTTGTTGGGCGATGGGTTCTTCGTTCTTCTTTCTGGCCATCTGATCTTCAGTATGGAGTGAGCACGTAGGTGGCAGCTGTTGATGTATGTCTGCAGTTTGTTGGTAACAGCCTATTGTGTGGTTGTGTGTCAATTTATGCATAGCAGTAGCCGAGGTTCACTTCTAGATTATTTATCTTATTTAGGTATGTCATTCTATATTTAGCTAAATTCCTATTTTAACTGACCCTGACCGTCTAGTTTGACCTATATACTTGACTTCACAGTCATTAGATGGAATTTGACAGATTATATTATTTTGTTTATTTGATTCTATCTGATCCTTAAGCCGACAAAACTTATCTCTGAATGAGTTTGTAGGTCTAAATGCCACCCTAATTCCAGCTTTGTTGAGGATCCCACGTAATGTGTCTAATGTACCTTCCCTATATAATAACACAATGGAGGCTATGAAATCCTTTCTAATGGTATTGTCGTTGTTATTTGTAGTCGTGTTATTGTCATTATTTCGTTTTTTAAGTGTTCGTACGTTTTTTTCGATAAACTGTGGGGGATAATTATTAACTGTTAGTGCTTCTTTTACATGTTTCAATTCCTTGTTTAGGTCCTTACACTGGCTAGTCATTTTTCTAGATCTATCATTTAGACATTTGACTAAACCTGCCTTAACTGACATTGGATGAGATGACTTGAAGTCTAGATACCTGTTGGAATGTGCCAGTTTTCTGTAGACGGTAGTATCCAAACCAGCGTCTGTCCTTCATTTTATCCGGCGATCCTCCTTGTTCATTTTTTACCATGTAAGGATTAAACAAACGTTTAATCCTCCATCTAAGATATTGGCAATAATTTAGGCTCGAAACATCATGAAGTAAATAATACTGTGTCAGTATGTGTTATAAATCAAATAAACAAATCTCATATGAAATTAAATTTTACCACAGTGCCCAATTTTTCACTTATATAAACTGATGGATGGTATGTATTTTTAAGGAGTTTTCAAACAGGAGATAAATAACTATCCAGTTCCTTGTAGTTTTAGTTGGTATCTCACGTGATATCAGTTATTAAAAGGTAATCACCTTTTAGTAAAGCTAGTTGGTCACAGTATTGCATACGTTAATACTTTTCTAATACCTGGTTACAGAACTTTCTCTGAAAAAGCCAAATCGAATAGCGTCATATGGATGTTTTGTAAATCCTTACTGGCTACACTAACTTTTAGAGTGAAAGTAAGGAAGCATATCACAAGTGTGTACAACTTTTACGACTTACAATTTAATTAGTATATGAAGATTATGGTTCATTTGTTTATACAGTCAACTTGGTACCAGTGACTTAAAGTTTCTCACCAAGTGGGGAATTTCTCATTAACCTTTACACAGTCTGTACATTTTGTAGCCCTATATAATACACAATCTATTGTCTGCGTTGCGTTTTTCCCTGATGCAGCACCATTAGATCAACATTTTTTTACCAAGTGAAAACAGACTAGGCTGTATCTCACAGTAGAAAAATCTGCTTGAATTTTTTAAAGCATATATAGCATTTTTCTGATATGACGTATGCAAAAGACATTCCTGCGTTACACTATTTGGATATCGTTATCTGTAATTGCTTGAGTATATATATATATATATATATATATATATATATATATATATATATATATATATATAAACTTAAAAAATAAGCGATCATTGATTTTTTGTTTTTGGTATTTGTTGCATTACTCCGTCACCCACTTGTCTTAGACCACATGATTGTATTACAGAACATGAATTGGATGAATCGAGATATTGGTGTATTAGGAATTTAGTTTGTAAAAATAGCTCTTATTGTAATGCAATCACTGTGGATCAGTGGAAACCGTTGATCCAGTGGATCCGTTGGACTTACTATTTGCGTTATGATTTGGAGTTGTGAGAATGAACGGGAATACTTAACGATTAATAGTCGAAGGTTAAGACGATATAATCTGAGTGATTCACAAACAGAAATCAAAAGACGGGAGATCAAATGAGTTTATAGTATCTCGGACTGAAAACATTTTGAGTGAAAACGGACTCGTATTTATAGAGTTTAGAGTAATCCTAAAGTACATTTAAAGAGACAGGAACCTATCGAAACCATAGCGGGTCATACGAAATCTGACCCAATCGCGGGAAAAGAGCACGAACAAATCATTTCAAATATATGAAAACTGTAAGTATGGAGTATAAGGGATATAGGCATCCCTAACAATCAACCGATAACAAGTTTTAATTTCCCTTCATGACTGATATCAGTCAATTTTTTTGTGTATTGTAGACAGTTGGTGGGTGGTCATCGTTGCGAAGCGATAAACAATATATAATCCTGTTTTGTCACGGAAAGTATTTTGACCATCAATAGCTTCTTCATCAATTAGTGACGGAATTACTGTTCATGTTTAATAGTTCTCAAATGAAGTTGAGGATTTTAAGAATTCACTATGAACTTCCTTTCAAAACTGACTGATAAAGATAACGTATAACCTAGCATACAGGTGCATCGGTCCAAGCTGACACACATCACAATAGTATACAAAGAACAGGTGGATAGAAAAAGAGTGATATCAACGTAGATCAAACACTGTGAGAGAATAAACGGTATGAAGATGAAGGTTAGTGCAAACATTTAAGCTTAAGAGGATGCACCACTGCGACTGACTATCAGCCATATCACGAAGACTCAACCACTGATTCCTTTGACCTCGGGGACCTCAACCAAGCAGTTTACATCTCCCAACACAGCTCAGGCTAACAGTGAGAGACTTCATCGACTGATGTCTTATTTTGGTCCTGGACACCTTGAACCCTGTTCTCACATAGTGCTACAAAGACACCTATAATGAGAACACTGCAACCACTTCATATAGTCTTTTGAGAAACAAAATTCCGAATAATATATGATGCGACCCGTTAGACATAAATAATAGTTGGCAACGAATAAGTCACGTGTTGGGAGACTGTAAGTACGACTGCTGAATGACGTTCGCTACTATTAGTTCTAATAATTAGTGTGACGTCACCTTTATCTACCTGGATGCAGCCAAGTCAGTTGGGTGGAAGTGGTCAGTACATCAAACAATCGTTTCACTCTTGTCTTTATTAATTGATCGACTAAGTTGCCTAAACGTGGCACAGAGAAAAAACTATAAATGGATTGGGGAATGAAACAATAAGGCTTAAGATATCGATTATTTTAGGAAATTTATTAAATGAATACACTGACAATGTCTACAACCTTCGGTTAGTAACACCTGAGGGAATTTAACTTGGATATCATTATAGCTCAACAGAGTAGGGATTCTAGTTATCATTAAACTTTAAAGTATGAAATGGTTAGAAATACATGTTGCTTATCGTGACTGACCTACTAAGAACTAACGGAATTACTGTCCTTGTGTAGAACTGTTCATCTGACCAAAATATCCTTCAGTTGATGTCTCTTTTTTGCAATAATTTAAAGCATTTGAAAAACATGTGTGATAAAGAGAGTTGTTAACTTGTGATGGTTTATGATGTTTTTAGCAGTCATATCCCATGTCTATCGAGTGATTTATTATTATCCAGTATATTCACACCTTGATAGACAGTTGTGCAGTATGCAACATAGACTACGGAGTCCAAACAGACGTATGAATTCTTATTGACTTAGTCAATACATTCAACGATTTCGGTTTCGTTTCATAAACCATTTCTTAGTTCAGACGACTAACAATGCGCTCATAGTGTTTAATTTCAGAGAACTTCATCTTCCAAACAATCAGATGTCGATCACTTACTCAAATGATTTATGAATTAGCCTAATGATTGTTCTTGACTGAGTAGCTAAGCATATATACACTGTTATGTTGCCAACGGTTTAAACCGGGTCAATGGCTGCCTTGATTACCTTCATCTAGCTAACTGGTGCATAGATTAACATTGAATACTCTTGTTGATCTGTTGTATACCATATCTAATCAGGTTCTTGCTATTATTTATTCTCATTACGCTAAATTTTATTTCTTGTAGTCTTTCAACTGGACAATTACGAGTTCAAATGGATCGTTCTGCCCTGTTTAATTACCCAGTTATGTGATACAATTATCATTCATGATTCATTTTTTCATTCTTCCTTCACTACTAATTTCTCTCTTTATAATCGATTTTAAGTATAATTTGTAAATTTTAAAATCATTTAATATTCTGCACCAAAATAGCATACATCATTTCATTATTTTACAAAGATTTTGACTATCAGTTTTTTTTCTTAACCTGAGAAAAATACCTACCCTACACTCTCTTCATTTGTCTACATGGATGATGGAGTGCTTAACTACTTGGTTTACAAAAGTTGTCATTTAAATTGTTGTTATATTTAGTATCTCTTCCATGTTGTGTTGAATTGCATAAATGACTTTTGAGCAATGTTAACTGAACTGTTTGCCATCTAATATGTTTTCATATTTATTCAGATTATTCAGATTACTTTGTCTTTTTTTATCTTGAGTCATCACCGTTGATGAGTCGATCCAGAGTGATTAGTTAATTATCATTGAAGCATCCTTATATGTCTTTCATTTTTACTACAGGTTATGCCACTGAAAAAGGGTTTTCTGTAGAGTACAGGTCTCATTAACTTAGGGAGATACCTCACTTGTAGTTGGTTTACCCATAGGTTGGAACTTTGGACCATTGAGTTTTGACCACATCACCACTTCTTATGCCACTAGAGGTATATGGGCTGCTGTGACATCTACAACTATAACATACTCGTTGCACAAGGAGTAGCTATCCTAACTCTGTGGCTTGGTGGGTAAAGATCTGGCGTTTGAAGCCGTAGGTTCTGTGTTCGAGTCTTAGTGGGAACTACATCATCCATTGAGAGGCAGCTGACAAGTTTAAGACACGACGATTCCGCTTCTAACCATTGTCTAACATTAGTAATTTTGCATTCTATTACACTTCGTAATCAACAAATTCGGTTGATAGACTAATCATTTGAAAGTAGAAACAGAGATTAAGATGGTTGTACCCATTCCATTTGTTCAGTTATACACTGAATGATAAGCAGAAAGTCATCGAGACTTAATCAATCAACGGAAACCATTACATTTCGGATAAAAATATTGGATAATAACAAAATACTTTCACCATCGTGCTGGTATTTTCTATTCATAGACAAGTTATTCGACACTTACGGTGTTAGAAGACAGTAGTAAAACCCAGTTGACTTCAACAGAAATTGAAACGAACTCACTTAGAAATAAGCTTTATGGGTTTAAATATCCTATTGACCTAATTAAGCAGAATAACTTAGTTTACCAAATATTTTGTAACGATTGTGAGGTCAAATACGTAAGTCAAAGTAGTCAACCAGAGTCAATTAGGCTATCCGTGCACATAAACGTAGCTAGGTAGCAATTTAGGAGAAGGCTCCGCCGCCGAAGCTGTGCATGCAATTACACACAACCACACAATATAATGGGACAGGTTAGAAATACTGGATCTTTGCTTATCGAATCAACACCTGATACATGCAACAGAAATGACTCATCACCTGTTCTGCATATGTGAGATATCTTACTACCCATATTATAAAAGAAGTCAAGAAAATTGGGACTATACAATGGATATCTTAAAGTTATATAGTTATCTTGATATGACTATGGACAATAAATTATGTCCGAAAAGTAATCCAGTAAACAATACTGTTGAAGTGTGTGACAAATCTAAATCAATTAGAAATAGGAGAAACTGAAATGACATAGTCAAGTGATTGACTTGTTTCCCAGTGGTATGCATCAATACCTAGTATGTTGTTGATTTTGCATTATGTTTACTGCATTGTATCACTATCAGTTGAATGTTAAAAGTGATCAGTGGGATTGATCAAGGTCTAATTCACCATTAGCTAACTTCATTTTGTAGTTAAAGCTACTTATCATTGTAATACCGTAAAAGCAAACAAAACAGTTGTTCATTTCCTCCTGTTGTTCAATGTTTGCTCTACTTCTAATTAAATCTACTGACTGACATTGAACTGTAGTTCATATTGGTGACATAGGTAGTTTTACTCGCTAAATTCTACTATACGGATTCCATATTTCAAATTAGCAACTGTCGAATCAAACTCCTGGACGGTTCACTGAAATGAACTATCTGTCACTTATATGGAAGTCAGGGAGCCAAGAATATCTTTGGTAATTTGTGGTACCTGCCGTTTGATGGAAGAAGACATCTGAAACGACTTCAGATATTAGTTATGTTTCATTTGTATCCAGGTAGCAAATATGTGGGGATCTTTCACTTGTTCAGATTCTACGTGTTGATCACTAGAAACATCAATTTTCATACATAAATATCCATAACCATACCGTTGTAGCGGCAAATAAATTACCAAAACGGATAACTTAGACGTCGATGGAATTCAGCATTAATTCACACCATACATTTATCGGACAGACTAAGCTGAAGGTTCACGGTCAAGCATCAACGCTATTTAGTATGTTGTCATGTTAACTTGCTCGACTTTCTAGCCATTTCGTAGTAACACATCGATATTTTGGTTTGTTCTATCTAATTACTTTCTCTAATAGGCTATCCTGTTCTTTCTTGGTCTTAAACTTGTAGGTATTTTACTAAAAGTATTAAGAATTAATGATTGACCTCTTGATCTGTCAAGTTCGCATAAGGACAATTACTAAACTTCTGTCAGTGTTCTCCTCTAATTAAAGTTTAACTGGGATCCAATATTACTGCAGGTGACTCTTACACCATACATAGGAACCGTACAGATCTGTGGTAACTGTTACGAACTTCAGTGATTTCGGACATGTTCGATCGTTCCAATTCCTTCTTACTCTTAGAAAAATACTATCTACTTCTACTGCTTGTTTTCATAGTGTAGTAGGTGCATTACATTCGAAATTACGATAACCGTTCCAGTCTGTGGGTATTTTTCAAAGTAGCTTATTTCTGAAAGATATCGGCCACAATTAAGCCGCTGTTGTCATTCTTGTTTATACGTTAACAAGATCAGATAAAGGGTGATGTAAGGTAATTAAAGGTATTCTAAGCATCTATTATTACATATTTATAACCGAAATTACTATAAATTGTTGTTAATCTGCCAATGAAATGCTGGTAGTGGATTGTGGTTAAAATTCACTTTGCCAAGAACATGGTGGGTATAAGTGCTGGACTCAAATAAACTGCGATTTTACTGTTTCATAATTTGAAACAAACTGCTTATGTGCTTCTCCACCTGATTTCTTGTCTACGTAGTTCTTTGTTGAAACTAACCAGCAAAAGGACTGTCTTCACAATCGAACACCATGGCTTTTGACTTTTCAGTTGCTGAACTCACACACTAGTGAAGCCTACCTACTTAGAAACTTTTATGAACATGGTACAAAGTGAAAATTACTATATTTGTGTTCATTTCAAACATTCAGTTGGACTCGAACTTCTTCTGTGGGGCCCAATTTGCTGCAGTAACACAACTAACTTAGTCTTAGATCAGCTGGTAAAATTCTGGTTGGCATAAAACTGTTTTTTAGACTGCGATAAACTTCGTAGAAGTCTTTAGCTTATAGTTCATATTCTTTTCGAATTTAGCGATCTACGAAGACTGCAAGTTAAGTTTCCTGTTTCTGTTTAGTGCTCTTCACTGGTTTAAGTGAGACAAAAAGGACTATTTAACGAAATGGGATGAATCCAATTCATTTCACTACATTCTCTTCAGCTGTATACAAGGCAATAAAATCGAAAATTGTGCAACCTGATTGTCCTGACTGTGAAGTAGTATTCCTTGGAAGGCAGTATGTCAATTAGATTTACTGTTTAATTTTCTCAGGCAGATTCTTACAGCTGATGGAAATAACAACTGTAGAATAATGTTAGTAATGGATTAGATAATATGACAAGTGAATGGATAAGATTACGAGAGTTATAGACAAAGGAGACCAAATCCAATCCCAGCTTCATGAGTTGTAGTCACACTTAATGCAAAAAGTGAAAGCGGAGTGCAGTTGGTGACATTATTACCGAGGCAGTTTAAAGTTTATCACTGATTCTTTCTGAATGCTAAGGTTAGTCTTTAAACTTCTGATTTCATTGGTCTCTATGAAGCGAAGTAGGATTAAAGTTGTACTGTTTATTAATTATTTTTCAATATATGTGTCACATCTTTTATTCAGAAGTTGGTGTTTTATTGAACTATTAATGTCTCTTAGTCCATTTATACTCGCATTCCTTGAAGTCTGTTTAGCGAAGTATACAGACGTCTGTCTATCTAGTGCACCCGTTTTTACGTAAAAGTAAATGCGATCGAGGGAGATGTTCTGCAGCAACTTATCTACTTTGATACTCATTTATTAATGGCTAGTCTTATAAATAGGTATCAGTCTCACTTTTACTGGTGTACTTTAAGTGCGACTTCTGATTGACTCTGTTTACGGTTTTGTCAATGTTCAGTTTCATCCTGATGCATAAAACGTTTTTCTAAGTGTATTCTGTTCACCCATAAAATAGTGTTCACTTCCGTGCTTGCTTATCAGTCTCTGAGGTTATTCATTTTCTGGAAGATACTTCCTAACCATTGCGCACGTCTCTAGGTTGTCTGTTAAGTTTAATTTCTAGTTATGTAGCAGTTCAGTTTCATTTAACTCAGTTTGTTGCTGATTGAACACAAGCTGTGAAAGATAAGAGAACTATTCATTTCAAGTTTTCTTTCGAATAAAAATCTTTCTGGATATCTGCATTTTTTCATAATATGATACCTAAATCCAGGCAATTGAAGTGTGCAATTAAATTTTGAGGGGGTTGTGGAGATTTGGAAATATTTCAAGTTGTTATTCACCGAAGACTGACATCAGTTGGAGGAACAAAGGAAACCTGGGAGCACTGGACAGCTGTTTCGTCCTAGTATAGGACTCCTCAGCAGTGCGCACCCACGACCCCACCAGCAGGGATCGAACTTGCGACCTTCAGGTTCCGCGACCAGCGCGTTACCATTGAGCCACTGGGTCAGAATCCAATGCTCCATATTTCCAACTTCTGTTAGCTCACGATATAGCGCAAACCGCCACCCAATGTCATCGTTGAGTGGGGGTCGTGGGTGCGCACTGCTGAGGAGTCCCATACTAGGACGAAACAGCTGTCCAGTGCTCCTAGGTTTCCTTTGTTCCTCCAACTGATGTCAGTCTTCGATGAATAACAACTTGAAATTGAAGTGTGCATTTGATACAACCTACAGGTTAATCGTTCACTTTTATCCTAATCCCCAGTACATAGCGCAAAACGTTTTCATTGCAGCAAGGAGATAAAGGGGCCGAATGTGGATAATATCTGCAGAAAATCATTATTATGGTGAATACAATTTTGTCAAGGTCAATATTTCATTCAAGTGGACTTTTTGAACTGATTCAGCATAATACAGACTGTAAGAAGTTGAGAAAGGCTGCTTACCATGCATTGAATCAACTTTTAAGTGGTAATCTTCATGCTCTAAAATTTGATGATGCCATACTTGACTTTCAAGTGATGAATTACGGGTTCAAATGCCG